ATTTCACTTCATTGTCGATAATGATTTGTTAACGGAGCAGCCCAGGCTGACGAGAGCCATTACATGAGTTTCGTCTTTATGCTAACAACTGGATGACGCTGGTTTGCGACAAGTTACCTTGGTGGGTATAAATGGAGTATGATAACACCCCCCAACCGATTATCTTCTTACTAATGATCCAAAACATCCTAACAGATAACATCAAAGTGGAACGGCAAGTGGCGACAATCTTCAGAAGTGACTTTGGTACACACACTAGAGCCTGTGATGAGAAGTCGTTTTACCCAGTTACTCATGTGAACTAGTGCGTGCAGCACAAAGATCCGCTTCGAAATATCCTCACCATTCGATGACCCGGAGAGGCAGGTTACCGATGCGCTATGGTGACATTTGCGTCTCGGGTACGGTTACTATTGCACGGTGGTAGTCGTTTATCGCCTCCCCATCGTCCACTCCAGAGATGGCTTCCCGCCCAATCTCGGCACTGACAAAAAGCTTACTCACAACTTACAGCCACGTGCTTATCTCCGGCGATTTCAGCATACACGAACTGGACGCCCAACTGCAGAGTTTTATCGCACTTGTTCCACTGTACAATCACATCACCTCATCTACCAGGTACAGAGCTGTTAACAACCCATCGATACTAGACCTTGTACTTACAAATAAGGAACTCATAGTCGACAGACCAATGATAGACACTCCCCTAGGTCTAAGCGGTCTCTTCACAATACTTTAAAACTATGTGTGTTACGTTGAATTCCCGGAGGAACACATTGAACCAACACGCATCATTACACGATGTGTCATCCGAATCGATGTGATTGCTATGGCCGATATGAACTTCCTGGAAGATGGTTTACCTGACATCCCCTGGATTCAGTTTGTTGGAAGTTTGAGCAATCTGATCATCACTGCCTTAGAAAATATGTGAGTTCGTTCATCAGCAACAGAACTCGAAAACGCTCATCAGTAAAGAATGCGGCTTGACACCTTTACAGAGCCTGTCCTGGTCCTGAAAACGGGAGCGATTACATGACCCATTGTAATACGCTTGTCCGTGAGAACAGAGGCTCACCAACAAAAATTAGCTTGTAAATTTCCCAGAATCAAAACCTGCTGTATGGATATGTGAACTGCATTCGCAAAGTGAAACACGGTATCCCCACACTTAACACCACAGTCGGAGTGGCACACAGTGCTGAAGAAGCATCCAACGCTTTACGGATGCAGTAGGCCCTGACCTTCCAACGAGATGTCTGCCAGTGTCACCTACCCACATCAATTGTCCAAATTTTGGCACATATTAACATCGCGTTTACTGCCACATTTGTGTTGTGAAAGCTGCTCTCACCCCGCATCTACAGTTCTAGAATCGATAAACTGCACTGGAGGGCCCTCAACGCAGCAACAACAACGCTGGCTGAACTACTAGAGCACATCTTTCAAACGTGCTTGGATAAGCAAATTATGCATACTATGGACTAATCACACCAGTTATTAAAGCTGGCAGTCGCTTGTAACCCGCAAACTATCGTCCAGTGGTCCTCCTCCCTTTACTCTCGAAGGTTATTGAGGCAATCATCGCTGAGGCTTTAGTCGACCATCTAGAACGGTACAGCATCATAGCACAGGAGTAGCACGGTTTCTGCCAGCACTGATACTACACAGCCAACCTACTGATTGCACGGACTAGTTGAACGGAAGCGGTCAACAAACGGAGTGGGACCGACATCTTTTATCTCGACTTCTCCAAAGCCTTCGATAGCTTGTACCACTGCATTCTGCTTCACGGGCTGGAAAGCTATGGTTTAGGAATCCTGTCCTTAGGTGATTATTTCAAAGTGCACCGTCCAATCCGGTTCATACATTTGGAGTTCTATGAGGATCATTACTAATGCCGCGTCTGTTTCTCGTGTTCATTAACGAGCTTACGCTTACACTCGCCTCTGATTTCTTGTTTTATTTTCGCTGGTGATGTTAAGATGTGGCGGACGATCGCCTACCAAGGAGATGACGATGCACTTGAAGGAGACATGGACAGGGTGTATGAATGGTCGTTTCACAACCCGATCCAGTTTAATTCTCCTATGTGTAAAGTGGTCCACATTCACCACCAATCATATCTCATATACAAGCTTGGAGATCGCGTATTGTAACCAGTCACCCAGAGGCGCTACCTTGGGATATTAATCCAGACTGATCTAAGCCGCTTGGAATAATCTGAAAAGTCCCCTTAAAATGGGTACCAACACGTTGGCGTGCCTCGGAGGGTGTTCGGGCGGTTTGATCTATCTATCTGCAGTTACTTAGCACATACGGCAGCCTCATGTGGAATATGCTATCTAGTCCTAGTAACCATGGCACATGCAGGATCTCGCAACACTCTAGACTCCACAGCACAGAGTCACCAAGCACGCCAGAAGGTTGCCCCACCTTCCATATCAACTTAGGTCGATATGCCTAAGATTGTACTGTGGTCACTATCGGCGCCTACGTGTCGACTTAATAATGACCTATCAGATTTTAAGGAATCCCAACCACGTCTGCCGTCAATAACTACAAATTAGTCATAACAAAAATCTAAGGGACCATCAGTTCTAGCTGACCACACAATACAGTCGGCTAACATGTAGCCTAAACGTTTTCTTTCGTGTGTATCATCCCTCACAAACTACGTTGTTTTCGAACCTAATTATTCTCTGTTTACAAAGCGCCTTGATGTCGCCCTAATCCACCTACATTACGAGTTATACGCTGTGTACATCGACAAACGATATAATGGGACCAACGTTGCACAACAAGCATTGACCTACGCAATTGAGGTCAGTTCTTTTAGGCATGCCTCTGTGTGGACACTGATGAGTTCACCAAGGCGCCTGTCGTTTTATCCCCATTTTTCCACCATTTTGTTGGTTATTCTGGCCATCTGGCATTTGCTTTCACTGTTTATGCACGCTCCTACGTCATTAGGCGGTTTTCACCGGCATGATGAACCTCACTAGCTTCCACTACTCATGTATTCGTGACAACTGACCACCGCGTACCCCGCGCAATTTCGTCGCATCCTTTGAAATCTGCAAAGTTCATTGTCTAGTGAAAGACGATTAGAAGTAACTTACACTTCCATTGGTATTCAACAAATATCGCACATGTCGGCCTACGCACGACATTCGCCAGAAACAACGTTTCCGCGGTACTCCTAGAGAAGTCAGATAAGCATATTTTCACGACCACCCTTCTTTATTGCGTCGGTTAGTACCCGAGTGTTTCAGGCGACTGGCTTGTAATCCACAGCTTGCCATTTAGAGTCTTCCTAAGTGATAGTGACGTCGAAGTATCCCGACCCTGCACGCGACCGCTGGTGGTAGCGGCGCACCGCTACGATTCTGTTACTTAAACTCCTAGATACCTCGCCAGATACAGATCACATTAACCACCACTAGCGCAGTTACTGATTTCCTGGTGTAAAAATAAATTATCTGTTTCACTGACTCCGAATAAACCACTGCCGAAGGGCCATACAAACTGGCATTTAATTATGCACAAAGTGCTTTATTTTCCTGCGACTTATGCACCCAGGTGCATTGTGATTTACTAACTATGACCACCAAGGTTCTCTAACCACGGCAAACTGGTGCAATAGTTTGAGCATTTGACATTGCCTTGTCTGCAAGCGCTCCCCCCGATTCATTGCTTCATCTGTACTCGACTCCCTCAGATGTCATACGCATTTGTCAGTTTGTGCCACATTACATTGTGCCTCAACCGAATGGCCTTAGCCGCTTCGTGTGTTCTTTTGGCACCATTTGCGATGGAGGATGCACAAGGTGGGTTGTTTGTATTCCACATTTTGACCGATTATTATTGCATTAGCTTCAAGTGAGGACCAAATTTTCCCTGACATCAATATCTGGAGCTCTAAATTATATTCGTACCATCCGTCTATCTGGGCTCTTTTACTTTGAATGTAGTGCAAGCGTGCGCCATTCGAATACCTACTTTGAGCTCCAACTGTGATACGATGTTGTCGGTCAGTTGATTATGGGACCGAAGGCATCTACTCGAAAAGTCGCGCTCTCAATTTAGCGATCGATCTTTTCACAAATTCGACAGATTTATGAGGCATAACAACTGGGACACCATTCAATCCTAATGTTGGAGATTAGGAAATACTCACCCACCGGTGAATTTCAGTACTTCAGCGATTCCCATTTGTGATCGGACACACATGGGGAATGAAAGGGAACAATTTTCTTGTTTAACCTAAAAATTAACCAATCATACACCCAACGAAGCTTGATAAGGCCAGTTTACTTGAACTGTGGATAAATACATTAATACAATAGTGCAAATGCTCCCGGTCTCGACCTTATATTGTGCATTTTTACCTGCTTCAGCCGGAAGAACATAAATCTGTAAAATATCTAATATTACTGTTGTGAGGAAACGGAAATGTGTTATGATGCCCCGTTGAATGGGAGCCATACATCATCGCCGTGTCTTGACATGGAGAATGAGCATACTTATCCACTCTAATTAAAATTCGTGTCGGTATCACGCCAGTGAGGAACCGATACCAACTATGCTACTTGTACCAACAAGTTTGTCGCATATCTGTACAGCGTATGAACTAGTGTTCAGCAACACGGCAGAGCCGTTCTATCTCAGATGGTGTCTTGTTTTGATTTTCACTATGTTATTCGCTCTGTCGTCTATCCACATTTGTAGTTATCCAAAAACATCTCAGGGACTGGCTTCCGTCATCACAGAAGGCCGCCTCAATCGCGGTACATCAATAGTCGCTTGCTACTGCAAATCTGTCATCTTATTAGCGTAAGCTGTCATGATTACGCTAGAACGAACCAATGCGGTAAAATCAGCTCTTTGTTAAGCGATACGAAATTCGTTTTTCGATGTTTACCATTCATATTATTCGCAAAAATGTTTTCAGTAACTGCTACCGATTAAGTGGGCTGAAAATACTCTATATTACTCACTTGAAATGTTGAGTACGCCAGGAATCGAGTCTGACAATAAGTGCACAAGTAAGGCCGGTGTGGTGTGCTTTCAGGTTGTGGAGATTGCGCCGGACTAATTGAACACTCGACCCCGGATGGAGCAAAATTCTTTGGTAGTAGTGCGGAGGTTGTATGTGCGTTACTTTCCATGTAACCGAGGGCATCGCATAATTCACCTTGGTACACAGAATTGAAAACAGTAATTGCTGGTACTAGTTCAGTTAGAGCGGAGGCGTGAGCCAGACTTGATTGAGCCGGCAGTAGCTGGGGTTGATGATATGGTGCGGAAGGCTGTACACTGTCCACAGCGGATGACATATCGTTGGTAGATGAGGAAATGGCGGAGTTCGCACCACTGTCAAAACTTCCCGGTAGGTTCATTAAATTTTGACTGTTGCACGGGATACTGTTGAGATAGAGTTGAGCAATAAACTGAGGTAGATTGAATGGTACAGTGGAAATGGAGGGTTCTGGAGTCATTGGATGATCAGTTTTTGCTTGTGGAACATACTTGGGTGGTGAGCGGTTCGTGCCGGTTGGAATCACCATGCTGGATAGCAGGGTTGCGACAAGTTGTAGCATCTCGGGACTTATGTGGCCTAAATTTTGTTTATTTGCAGCATTTGTGGCAACTGAATCGTTCGTACCTGTTGGTGACATATACTTGTTAGACGAATCTGTACTTTGCTCTATAACTGCTTGGCAATTATTCACTGCGACCCTCTCGTCGAACAGCCGCTGAATTGGCAGCATTGTCACACTCGAGTCCGATGAGATTAGCGGACAAGATAGATCTAGCGCACTTAACACGTTGTGACTAGAAACACTACTTGGGGTGATGGAAGTCGTTACCGTTGTCACTGTTGCTGCCGACATAGATCGTTGTGTGACATCCTCTTCGTGCGTATCCTGGCCACTCGCAGAAACCCATTGATCCGGCGACACGTGGTCGTCGTTTTGCATATGGTTACTTAATAGAAGACCACATTTAGGGTTCACGGGTACATACTGGACGCCGTCCACAGTAAATAATGGAGCCGCGAGCACCAGACCGAGTTGGCTCACTGCTGAGGACAGTGCGAAAGGACATCCCGTGTGGATGTTGTCATCAAGAGACCAACGGACTTTCCCATTGGTTTTCAAGTGATGGCTCTCGGTGAAATTCACTAAATGTGAACTCATTTTCAAATGACAAGTGTATAAAATATCCGAGGCAAAATACTGTTTGCAGCCATCACAGTAGAGTGGCATTGCCCTCGGGGGTGGAACATACGTTTCCGAGGGCTGCTTTGCGGTGTTCTGTGCATCCTGGAGAATTCGATTGGAGTCGTTAATCCTGAGTTTGGGCGATGAGTCCAGTAACCTTGTGCCGAGCGGAAGCGGGATCACTGGAAATTCTGTGCTCGTTGTTGATGGTGAGGTCATACTCTTCCCAGCGATAGGCGTTTGTACAGTGCTACTCAATTTGGCCAGGTATGGCAGTATTGCCGCAGTAAGATGGGTCCTCACAGCAGATACGTTGTTCGGGGGACACAGTGCGTTCACCAAGTCGGCTGAAAAAGTTGGATTACTCGTGATCAAAGATGCGGAATCCATGACGACGTTGCTGCCCGTGTTTCCTGCAGTTCTCATCGTGGGGGACTTTGGAAACAAATGAAATGGGTACGATGTAGAACAGCTGCTGGTCGCTCCAGCTGGATGGGACGCACTAACTCCTGTTCTACTGATTGGGCGTTTGTTGACCACTGACGAGCGTGCTAAACAACGACCAAGCAAAGAAAATGCATGAGACAACATCTGTCAAGGCAGCAGCAAACGGAAAGAAAATCATATATAAGCTCGCGTGCTGCGAGTGAGTCTCCTACAATAATTACCCTTAGAGATTCGAAACAACGAAATTCCTATACAATTTGGGAGAAATAGTATTGTGTTCTCCTCAAACAAATAGACACAGTGACTTGGTATGTCTCAGCTCGTGTGACCAGCCACCGGCTCCTTAAACGTAAAGGAAATGGTTTGTCAGCATGTCCATAGCCCACGAATATTAGGCATAGCACGTGCGTTAAATAATTGGCATCTCGAAATCTAACGTGCTTCGGGAACAAGAGTTTCCACTAAGCCTAAAATGAATTCTTTATTAAAGAGCAGAACACGAACATGGGTGACAGTGCGTAACGCAGCATGGCGAGGGTACAGATTATCTCCAACGCCAGATACTTAGGGCAACTACGTAACCCAACGTAACCAATCCACACAATTACTTAGAGAAGACAACGCCGCACATAAGCAGAACATGGAAAAATCTTTCGGTGCCAACCATAAACTGTTGTACAAGTACATCAACGACCTTCGAAAGAGGAGGAAGGGATTTCCTCTGCTCCAGAAGGCTGATCGCTCAACAAATGCGATTGCAGAATCAGCAGTCACTTTGTGGGAGCAATACACTTCCATATTTCAGAGGGTCTTACCATCAGGCGATCTTCCAGCGTTTGTTGCTCCGCCGACGGTATTTGATTCTATCTCTTTTACCGCGAAGGCTATCTTGCAAAAGCTGCTGTCTCCGCACAACCACAGTCCACCGGGTGTCGATCCCCTTCACCCAGAAGCACGGGGGGCCGCAGTAAGAGAGCTGGCAGCGCCTTTGGCTCAGTTCTTTCAGTGTTGCTTAGATCAATAACAAGTTCCTGTCATGTGGAAACTTGGAATAATCAATTCGATTCACAAAGGCGGAATCAGAACCGAGTCTCCTAACTGCCGCCCAGTAGCTCTCTTCCCTTCACTGTCCAAGGTCATGGAATCCATCGTTACCGATACGCTTGTGTGTTAGGTGTAAGATTACAACACTATTGCTCCTGATCAGCACGGTTTCTGTCGACAGCGATCGTGCACGATGAATTTACAACTAGCACGGAGTAATTGGACCCAGTCAGCTGACACTGGAGAGGATGTTGACACGCTCTACCTAATTTTTTGATGGCCTTCGATTGTCTAGACCATCGGACTCTCCTTTTTAAGCTCCAGTATTGCGGGATTAGTCACCCTCTTCTAAGCTGGACTGCCATCTTTTTACTTCAATGGCAATTAGTTGTCAGAGTTTGGAGCTCTTTATCTGACATCATAAAAGTCGACTTTGGTGTACCCCAAGCCCCAGTTCTAGGGCCACGAGACTGGACCTTAACATGGTACGACGGTTTGCGTACCTTTGACCCATTGAGCTATACTGGGTAGTGCCCCGGGCCCCTTGAGAGCTACTCCTACCAGGTTGGTCAATGGTGAGAGGTCAGACAAACTCAGTCTCCTTGTCCTCCAGGTTGGGGGTTTGAAATGGGATGGCGTCCAATTCTGTAAAACTAAATCATTGCCACCTCTCTGCGCTACTGCTTTGCGGACAGACTTTTGAGCCAAAGACTGGTTGGGAGCCGTAATCGTCCTCCTGTCTAGGTCTGAGGGCCGTGGCAGTATCTCAGCCAACATACAACCATGACAATTTCCCCAAAACTATGTCCTGCATCGGCCGTCGCACAGATTATCAAGCGACGCCTTATCTACTGCATACAGCAGGGCGGATAAGCGAAAACATGCTACTGCTGGCGCCTCCTTTCTTTTTCACCTTTTCCTCTTACTCCCATCCAGACCTCCACTACTAATCTTCCATCTATAATTCCTAGCTTAATTGACAGCAACCGAAGTGCCACTGGAGTCACAGCATCTGCAACCACCTCCCCACAACACCCATCGGACGCCTTTCGGCAACTGTCCCTTATAAGGCCACACTGTCCCGTTTCCACGGCGGCGTTCAACGTTCGCACTCTGAGGTAATTAACTCAACCGGCTGCACTCGCACGCATCTTGGACACACTGGGTATTGATGTGTGTTTTGTGTCTGAAACTTGGATCAATGACCTTAATGGCGTTGCTAAATTAGCTGCATCCGGCTTCTCCTATCGTTATTGATTGCACACATCCAGAGACACTGTTGCCGCAGCCTCTGGTCAACCTGGGATAGGTATCGTACTCAGCTCCAAGGCTGAGTCATTGTTCGTTGATTGGATTCCGGTGAGCAGCCTTTTTGTGTGTAGCCCTTTTGGCGAAATCGACCAAGGTTGGTTCACGAAGTAGTACAAGACGCTGTTTGTTTGTGGTTTCCGCTTACGCTCCTACGGACTACAGTTCTGATGTGGCGAAGGGAACATTCTACCATGAACTGCACATGCTACTACACAGTGTTACCAGTTCAGATACCATAATACTTGCAGAGGATATGAATACACAAGTAAGTCGCCTGGGCTCTTCTGAAGCTCACCTAGGTGGTAACTATGGGATTACCTCCTAACGGACTGACAACAGCGAACGTCTGTTGCAACTGTGTGCGCAGCGCCAGCTGTTTCTTAGTAGCACTGCTTTTAGACACACTGAGCGCCGAAGTGCCACTTGTCTCCTCTTGTAGCTAGCCAGCGATGAACCCAAATAGATCACATTGCCATAAGTTACAGGTAGCGTGGTACCATCCTGGATTATCGCTCGTACTGCAGTACCTACGTCGACTCTGATCATGTCTTTGTACGCTGTCGCTTTTCCATGAACTTTACCGGGAGGCGCACTAAGCGTCTCCCTCTATTAGCAGCTGAGAAACTATCAGCCCTCGGTCAAGCAAGCCTACTAGGATGTACTGCGTACCGAACTTTCGTTCTCTTGTCCTAATGACACTAAGGTTCAGTAGATCTCGGATCTCGCTCGCCATGCACGACGCAGGAGCATCTGCTTGTGGTACTATCAATCGTCACTGCACCAGTCACTGGATGTCCAAGAGGTCGGTGAACCTGTTGGAATCCAGAAGCAAACTCCTGTGATTAGTGGGGCTATTAGGCGCGAACTAAAGCGGAGCCTGCACGCTGGCAAGGAAGCCTGGTGGACCAGTCAGACTCAAAAAATGAAGCAGGCGTGAGCAGTAGAGGAACTATCGCAAACTGCTGATCTGCGCCACTGGTCCCAGGAAACCAGGCATCAGTGAAACAACCAGGGACAGCGCGGATACTTTGATTCACAATAAGGAGTGCCGTGTGTTCGTTGGGCGGAACACTTTCAACATAAGTTCAGTTGACCCCTACTTCCGGGCCTCTTTCTACTCAGGTGATGCAAGATGAGCCATGGACGGTTAGTTCAGAGACTCCATCGGAGGCCGAAGTCCGAAACGTGATCACAGCCCTCCATCGTTTTTGTGCCGCTGACCCGGATTCCCTGCCACCTGCACTATTTAAGGATGGAGGTGAGGTCCTCTGCAAAGCACTGACCTCACTGTTTGCACATGTATGGAGGGAGGAAGCCGTCCCGACTAACTGAAGTGAGTCGATCATAGTGGCAATATACAAGAAGGGTGATTACACCGACTGTGCTAACCACAGGAGTATTAGCCTAACGCCCGTAGTGACATAATTACTGACCTCAATCTCCGTTCTTCTCCTCATTACGGAACGGGAATCCCGGATTAGGGAAAAGCAGGCAGGTTTCCGCCTTTGACGAAGCTGTGTAGATCGCATATTCACTTTGCGGTAGGTGTTAGAGCAGTGCCACACATACAGCTGGCCGACTGTGTTCCTCGATTTCAAGAGTGCATTCGATTCAGTCCATCGATGCGTTTTGTTCGAAATGCTTGCGCGGAAAGATGTTCCCATGAAATATGTGATCATATTACCAGCTCTGTATTTAAACCCGACAAGCCGCCTCAGGGTGTACGGTTATTGGATGTTTTTCTGACAAGTAGTGGCGTTCTTCTGTTGTCCAATTTTCCCATTTGTGTTCAATTTCATCGTGGACTGCGTCATGGAGTGTTTCCTCACGAATCCTCACGGTGCAGACTTTGAAGTGCTGTCTGGTGAAAGGCTAATTGATCTTAATTATGCGGACCATATCTTCTTGCTGTTTAACCATGTTGGCTAACTTGTCTTCACGGACAAGTGTGGTACAGTGATTACGATACACAACATAATTGCTCCAGTTGTCAGGACTAGGGTTCGATCTGTACATATGTCATGCTGCGTCTCTTACCGCCATGTGTTTTTGGGTCCTGCTCGGAATGAATGATTGTGCTCTTGCGAAACGTAGGGGCTTGTTAACCAATGCAGATTTAAGCAGATCACTGAACTTGCCAGCAAACCATCAAAACACATTCGTCCGAAGCTCCCAGATGGCTTCTCCCACAACTTCTGCCAGCATGTCGTGGTAAGTGAATTTTCGAAAGAAGTCACAATGTTCTTGTGGATACTCCGCATAACACAAGAAGTCGTAAATTATGGTCACGTGGTCGCTCCGACCCATTGGGATCTCCATCATTGATTTCTCAATCGTGAACTCTTCGTTTGTAAGCATTTAATCACTCACGGAATGTTCGTTTCCCGCTCTGCATCTGGTGGGCGAACTGAGGTGGCAGAAGAGAGGAATGTTTGTAGTATCTTCTTACAGGTTGGCCTTAAATTGCTCATTCAGGAATGTCAGAGCTTCCAGATTGTGAATATTATAGTCAAGGTAGATGAGAACATGACTGCGTCGTCTTCATGCGACCATTCCCAAAGTTTATGTCAGGCGGGAGTCAATCTCTGGGGTAGACATTGGGGGACGATATACAATTGCAAAAACACAACCGTCGTTGCGTCTCATTCACAGACTGCACCAGAGTGAGTCTATGCCTAGCGTTTCTGTATCGGCCACCTGTTTTCACTGCAGATCGCGGCGGTAGTATAACATTACCCCACCGGCCTTATT